CCCACCCCACCCTCATCCCACCTCACCCCACCCTCACCCACATAGTGAAACAGAGGAAGTTGTGATGACCACCTTCCCCAGAACCTTCTGGCCTGACTGTCAAGGAGAATATTGCCAACCATTTTATGCTTCCTGGTGGCAATCCCAGCATCTTGTCATTGGGGATCCCATGTTGTCTACCATGCACAGACCAGAGAAACTCAGCCACATGAGGACATAGTCTCCAGGATTGTCTGTAGCCCCACTGTTACTCCCCCAGAGGGCGCTCATTACCTTGGGATGAGGAGCAAGGTCACAGCCCCGCCCCCATGTCTGTCATTCTAATCCATGTCTGTCTGTACATCAAGCCTCTACAGCCCCAATGTAGACTGAGGGCTTCAAAGCAAATCTTTGATTTTCTAGCCTTTGAACCCCCAAGACTGCAGAAACCCCACTCAGATTAAGCACTTTAGTAACCAAGAATGGGCCATGTGTATTCAAGCCCAAAGAATCTGGGGCCAGCAACTCTTTCCCTCTGCAGTAGTCACTGTGAGGTTGCCCATCTGCAGACACCTAAAAAGGCCCCTTCTGCATGAAAGACGTGCCGAGGCAGCCAAGCCTAATGGAATCCAGTTCACAGACAAGCTCCGCACTGCCCAACCACCAGGAAACCAGCCTTTTAATGCAGCTCTGGTTTCCATTTTGGCTAAACCTAAACCTTGCACCCCCCCATCTCCCCACCTGTGTGGCCTTAGAGTTCCTCACACCCTTAGCCCTCAAGTCCTCATCTGTAACAATCCCCCTCCCCCCCAAACTCCATCACTGAGTTTCTGGGGAGATTAAGTGAGATCATTTTTGCAAACAACACTAATGATGCAGCATGCACGTCTGAGCGCTTCTGCTACTGCTGCTGCTTCCCCCTCCTCCTCCTCCTCCTCCCCCTCCTCCCCCTCCTCCTCCTCCTCTCCCTCCTCCCCCTCCCTCCTCCCCCCCTCCTCCCCGATGCATGTGAGCTGGATCTCATCAGTTCTAAATGGAGCTTGGCAAGCATGTTTTGGAGTGGTCATAAGCATAGCCCTTAGGATATTTTTAGAGACTCGTTTGATTGTGTGGCTCAGTCCAGAGCGCAGCAGATACTAACCACCAGCCAGGCAGGACTGTGATGGCTGCTGCCCCCACAAAGAGGGGCCACTCACCCCCTTCACTTTCAGGCTCTGCATCGTCACCCTCCATCCATCGTGACTCCTTCGCTCATGACAGCGGAAGTGGGGAAGCCATCTGCTTGCTTCACTGAGACAGGGTCTCACCATTAGCCCAGACCTGGAACCGGCACCATCCTCCTGTCTCAGACTCCTCCGGGAGTGTTGGCATTTCAGGCTTACAGGAATGCACCCAGCAGGGACACTCAATTATCGAGGTTTGCCTTGAAAGGCAACTAACTTTAACCGTAACCCTTTCTCTTGGGCCAGCCTAAAAATGTGCAGCCGACGAATGGACTTAATTTCCTAGACTAACAGATACAGAGATAACTCCATTTTCTTCAGTGAGGACCAATTAAGGGCAGGTTTTATTTTTGTGTTTGTCTGGCTTGCTTTTCCTTTGAAGGCCCCAAGAGGTGGGTACACAGTCCTGTGGTGTAGATAACCTGCTTCCTGGACTAGAAGAATGTCCCAGAGAAAAGGATGAGCTACACTTCCGACTCTGCAGGGCTAACACCCACCAAATGAGGACCAGCAGGGGGCAGCTTGCTAATGAGCTGTGGGGGACCCACAGGCTCAGGCAGAGGAGGGCTCACTGGCCTAAGCTCACCCAGGGCTGTGGGTGAAAGAAACTTAGCTCAGGACATGCAAAAATCTTGGGACCCCAGTCTGGAGACATCTCCTTGGCAAGCTAGCCCCACACACCACCACCACTACCACCACCACCACCAATTCAGCCCCACACACCACCAACACCCCACCCCTGCTGAGGGCATGAAGAGAACCATCAGCTGACAGGAAATCCCTTGAAGCCTCTAGCACTTTGCATACAACTCAGTTCCATTTCTCTGTGGTCAGAGAGAATCTAGGACTGAACCACTGCAGGCATCTGAACTCTAGAAGATGCTGCTGTGTCCTCTTGATTTTGGGTGTGGCCAGGTGAATGGGCTCCTGACCAGGGCAGCTCTAGCAGCAGGGAACTCTGGCTCCCTCTCCTCCATGCTTCTCATCTCGAGAAAGAGTCAGAAATCTCAGCTTCCAGAATATTTTTAAACTCTGTGATTTCACAGGAACCCTGAACAACTAGCTGGCAAAATCCAAAGTTCAGCTCCTCTGGGCTTCCTGACACTCGGTGCTATTCTTGGTGTCCCCTCAGCGTGGTTCAAGCTCTGTTCACTAAGGAATACTTACCTTCCTGCCATCGGGAAGCTGGGGCCAAAGCCCCTGCTCCACCATAACTGGGGGTACAGGTCAGACCTGCGGACATCTGGGGAGTGGTCTCTCCTCCATCTCCTCCATCTGCCTAAGAGTGTGGTTGATGGACGCTGGCAACAGCGCTACAAAGATGCAGCCGACTTCCTCCAACCTGACCCTGGTGGCTCTCACGACCAGCACACCACTCACTGTCACCTCTAAGGCTGCAGTCACCTGCACTGACGTGCTAAGATTTCCCAGCATTCCCTGTCTGGCCAGGACAAAAGTGGGCCGAGGGCCTCAAGCACAGCCGCATATCCACGGTTCCCCCTCTCCTTGGTTTGGCTTCCTGTCAACGGGAAGTGACCATAAGACGCTTCCTGAGGGGTATGGAGGCTAAGCAGAGCTCTGTCAGTCTCTCCACTGGGCAGAGCACCCTGGAGAGAGGCACTAGCCTGCTAGTGTCCAGTGCTGACTCCTGGGCTGTAGGAGGGAAAGAGCCCTTGCTGGCTATACCGCCACTGAGCCCTTCTGTGCTTATCGTTTCAGAAAATCATGAAGCGGCTCATAAAGAGATACGTGCTGAAGGCCCAGGTAGACAGAGAAAATGACGAAGTCAACGAAGGTACGTGAGGACTCACTCTGAGGCAATCTCATTCTGAATTTTGCAGGTCAGGGGTCGACCATGGTTCTCTGGGGGCTGGGACTGTGGTGTAGTTGGGGTTCTGTGTCCTTTCTGGAGAAGCCCCTGCTCTTCAGTGTAAGCATATGCAGTCCTGTGAGGCGGGGAGAGCAAGGCCTTTTTCCCTCACTGCTGCAGCAGCTGCTCCAGCCTGAGCCAAAACCCAGAGGCCCCCCCCTGGGGCCCCAACTCTCCTGTCTGGCAACTGCCACCTCCACCCTGACCTGCCTCTTTCCCTCCTCCTCCTCCTCCCCCCCCTCCTCCTCTTCCTCCTCCCCCTCCTCCTCCTGTAGCTATTGCTGTGATAGATGGGCTCCTGAACCATCCAGGACTCTCCTAAAGCCGGCTGGTTAGCACATGATTCCACGAGTTACCTTAGTTCCTGTTTGCCGTGTGACATGACCTATCCTCAGGCCAGCCACCAGCTGTGACAATATGGACATCACTGTGGGACATTAGTCCACCTCTCACAGTGATGGCATCCTCCTCAGTTGGCTTCGAGCCCTGTGAATTCAGGATAGCCTAGAAGCCCACCACTCCTACCTTCCTGTGTGGGCATATCTACCTACAGAAGGGTCAGTCTGAACCCCATTTCCAGAACCTGCCACTAGCTCAGCCCCAGCTGCCCATCCTGCTTCTGTTCGGGGTTCTGAGACTGACAACCGCTGTGTTTCTCGGAGGCCCTCCCTCTTCAGTTCCCGCTGGTTACAGTGCAGATGGAAGCGTCTGTGGCGGGCAGGGCCGGGCCCTCGGTCTCCGTTTTAGATAATAGACAGCAGCAGGTGGTTCCCGTGCACACTCTCACGGTTTGAGTTATTTCTCAGTTTGTTTTCAGCAGGGATTCTTAGGCAAGAGGCGGATGCCTTATTATTAATCACACAACACACCTAGGATAAATATTTGCTACCCAGAAAGTCCCTTGTCCATGAGTGGGGTTATCCTGCCTCCCCCGACTAGGGCCACAAGGGCTATCAAAAGAGCACATCTGCTGAGTGACACTTTGCCTCATCTTGGGGTACCCAGCACAGAGCCTGAGAAGCAGCAATGCCCCATCTAGCTGCTGAGCAGACAGAGCTAAGACGCTGAGCTCACTCACTTACCTCTCCTTGTGAGCCCCAATTATGAGATCACCAGGTACCATGTCATCCAGCCGCAGGGGTGTGTGACTGTGTCAGACATGACAGTTTGTGGATGGGTGCCCCATGCCATTTTAACTTGAATGATACCTTGAGCCTGGGGCTTAGTGAAGCCCCCTAGTAAAAATAGGGGATGTAATTGTGTGTGTAAGAGCTCTGCACTTCATATATTTTAGCACACCTGTGTAAGAGATAAGAATAATACACTCGAAAGCAGTGGACTCCCACCGGAATTTAGTCTGCTGTCTAAAATATGAGGAAAGAACCTTTGTGCTTAATAAAGAGATTCCCACAGGCCAGACCCCTTCTAACCATGAGGGTAACTATGGAAACAGAAAATGAAAGTGGCTGCTTGGTGATCCCCTATTAGGGGAGGAGGCAGCCGTAGGCATCAGGGAGGCTGGAATTGGGGCGATCGGGCTGCTTCTAAGAGCAAACGGAACAACAGCTGGCCAGCCCTGGGGCTGCGCCCATTGTACAGAGCCCTGATTTCGGGTGCACAGATACGCAGAATCAAGCAGAGAGAGCCTCTTGCTCACTCTTGACATCTACCTGTAAGGGCTCTGAGACCAACACTGGAGCCAGCAGTGTGTGAAACAGTTGCCAGAAAGTTTGCAGCCCTGAATGCCACCTCTCCAAGCTGTGAAGGGAAAGGGTTTCCAGGAATTGGGGGGGGGGGGTGTGGAGGAGGGGAGGCTGTAAGCAGCTGGGTGGCACTTTTTCCCCTGGAGTTCTGTGGGCTCTTCATGATCCTAGCACGCTCCCCAACCTCATCCACCAGAGCAGAGTCCATCCTCCTTCCTGTCAGCGAGTCCATCCTCAGGACGCGTTCTTCTGTCCTTTCAGGTGAACTCAAAGAAATCAAGCAAGACATCTCCAGCCTTCGCTATGAGCTTCTTGAAGAGAAGTCGCAAGCTACGGGCGAGCTGGCAGACCTGATCCAACAACTCAGTGAGAAATTTGGGAAGAACTTAAACAAGGACCACCTTCGGGTGAACAAGGGCAAGGACATTTAGTGCCTGAGGCACCGGTGACTTGTACCAGCATTCCAAAGCCCGACTGGAACATCCGGTCACAGCCCTGTGGGGGAGGGGTCCACCCCACTCCCCTGGGATACAAGGGGATCCCAGGGCTCTGCCCTGGGCACGTGGCTGGCTCTTAGCCCAGGACCTGCCTGGGCCCAGGATTGTGAAACTATACTGTTGGGAGAGGACAGCTACCCCAAGGAGGGAGGCAGTGCCGTCAGACACACCTGAGAGACCAAGGCAGGAAAAGGCCATCTTGGATGCACAAGTGTGCCCTCCCACCTCTCTCAGGACGACAGCCGTGTCCTGGGGCATCAACCCTCCCAGTCCTGCGAGTCCCTTCTCATTCTCCCACCACACACACACACACACACACACTCACACACACACACACACACACTCACACACACACACACACACACACACACACACTCACACACACTCACACACTCACACACACTCACACACACACTCGGAATGGGGAGGTGGCCTGTGACCTACTCAAGTGCCAGACGAGAACCCAGATAGCCTAATAGCTAAATAGTTCTATTTGTTTATATAAAAAAGTTTAAAAACACTAAATCAAAAATTGTACTGTAGAGAAAAGTTGTCATTGTTTAGAAACAACAAAATCCAAATAATGTATTTTTACCTTTATTAAGATTATCTTGTATTTACTATTTTTACCTAAAATGAGAAGAAATAAAATTACCTCATAAGAGCCTGGGGGTTTCTGAGAGTGTGCTGCTGGCCCATCTGTGGCGGTGGGCCTGGCTTTGGGGACCCGCAAAGTCAAGGATGTCTGGGAGAATGGGACCAAACCCCAGAGTCCACAGCCACCCTCCCACCCCCAGGGAGTTCCTGGCTCCTACCTTCACTGCCAAGTCCCACTTCCCGTTCCCAGACCTGAGCCCAGCCTCTCCAAGGTCAGGAAGGAAGTGGTGAGGGAAATGGCAAGTTTGCTCCCAGCCCTCCTCTGGAGCATCCCCGCCCGCCTGCCAACCGGGCCAGAAAAGGGGCCTCACATCCCAGGGACCTAAGTGAGAGTAGAAAGCAGCCACCAGATGGCGCCCAGCCCCAACCAATGTGCTGGCGTGATTAAAGGAGAGTCCACTGGTCTCAAGGAAACACGGCTGGTGATGCTGACCAGAGTGTGACCAACCGACCGAGTGCCTACTGTGCACCGGCTTCAGGATTATTAATCATACCCATGCATCAGTGCTCCTGTAACCCATGCATCAGTGTTCCTGTGCAACCATGCATCAGTACTCATGCACACCCATGCATCAGTACTCCTGTGCACCCATGCATCAGTGCTCCTGCACACCCATGCATCAGTGCTCCTATGAACCCATACATCAGTATTCCTGCACACCCATGCATCAGTGTCCTCCTCCCCCCCCTCATGAGTGCTCCTGCGCACCCATGCATCAGTGCTCCTGTGCACCCATGCATCAGTGCTCCTGCACACCCATGCATCAGTGCTCCTGCGCATCCATGCATCAGTTCTCCTATGAGCCCATACATCAGTGCTCCTGTGCACCCATGCATCAGTGCTCCTGTGCACCCATGCATCAGTGCTCCTGTGCACCCATGCATCAGTGCTCCTGTGCACCCATGCATCAGTATTCCTGCAT